TATATATAAACATTGAAATATTGAGAATCGAAGTCGAAGTGCATAAAATCACCAGATAGAAAGTTGAAGGTTCGAGAATGAAACAGGTATGTGATCCAAGACTGCGTAAAACGATAAAGAAAAAAATAATAAATAAAAATAATAACAAAATTGCATAAATAGAAAAAAGGTCTATAAACTTCAAATTTAATAAATTAACCTTAATAAATTAACCTAATAAATTAACCTTAATAATAAACGTATTAATAATTAATACCTTTGGAAATATAGACAAGTACATGTTTATGTGTCAAGGTAATCAAACCAATCCTTCAATGCAAGGGTTGCCCTTCTATATTATAAAACTACGCATTACTTCGTCTTAGAAGTCTTTCCTCTGATAAATTAGGTACCTGTCTATAAATCCAATCGGGATATTATTATCCATTAAAAGATTATGTAAATGTTCTAAGATAAGTATATTGTTGTTGCAACTAAACTTAATGCGATTTATTTGTCGGCTCGGCAACAGGTGGATCAGAAGGGAGGGACCTATTCCATGGCCTCCAAGGAGCCCTGATCTGACTCCGTTGAATTTTTTCTTCTGGGGGCATATCAAGAATCTTGTGTATGCAGAGAAAATTCGTGATGTTCAACATCTCAGGGAACGAATAGTCAATTCTGTGCCAACCGTCCCCCCAGACATGCTCGCCAGGACATGGTAAGAGGTAGAATACCGTTTAGACGTCTGCCGTGCCACTAACGGGGCTCATATAGAACTTTACTAAGTATTAAAAAAAACTTGAAAATGTAAGCTTTTCAGTCATGTATAAAACATGTATGTATGTTTTTTATTTCATTAAAATATTTTGCCTCAAAACCTCGGAGTTCTTTTATAGACACCCTGTATAATAACATTTCAATAGATACTAATAGATATATCAGAATTCCAATAGAATTAATTTGTTAAGAGGAACATAACTTTTTTTTAAATCAAAAACATCAATTTGAACGTTAGAACAGTCGAATGTAATGAATATATCAAGAGACTCCGAATTTAAATATGATTGGTCAGTTTTAACCAGAATAAATTCTTCTGGATAAATTGTGTTTGCGATATTAGTACAATCTATACAATTAACAATGATCAAATCAGCAATAAATCGGAAGCCATTTCTGATGTAAATCGTGGCATGTTATTCATAGAATTGTAAAAAAAGTCTAGCAAGAATAGTTGAAAAATTGATACCTTGTGATATGCCAACAATCTGCAGAAAATTACCCTCACCCTTAAAGATAAAATTATTAAGAATACAAAAATTAACAAGACCAGTATAAATTTCGCCAGTATTCAAAATCAATATCGAGAATATTATTGAAGTAATAGAAGTATGAAAAAAGAATATCTTTAAGTTTGTCCTGTGGAACGAAAAAAAATGTTTTTAAAGAATGTTCTTGAAATCAAATGATTCATTATAAGTAATGTAATTATTGTTGATAAATAATTACTGGTTTATCGTTTTTAATAATCCATGTTGATCCTAAATCATATATAGAGTTAAATAGAATGTTTAAGTACTTTGCAAAGAGTTTATCAGGTGTATTCAGATTGGTATTAGTGCCACAACTGATAAATCGAAATTTAATCCATGTTTTTTTAAAATTTAGGTGTGATCGTAATGTAAGATAGGTTAATGTTGTAATTTTTATTCCTGCAAATTTTATTTAAAGCAATACTTTATTTGACAATATTATTATAGTTATTAGAACATGATTTATAAGTTAGAAAATTGAAGAGTTCGTTGTCTAATAGGTTAAGATGTTGGTATTTAGAAATAACGGCATACTTTCCAGAAGCTTTATCTATAGGACATATATCTGTAGGCTTTATCTATTGAAACTGTTCCGGCATTGGCTGCGTGGTAATACCTTCCTGACGATGCTACCATGTATGTCAGTGCTTCTACTTTAGTTTCTTTTCAATACATTTCATATTTAATAGTTAGGCTGCTATTTCCAATAGTGCTTTGTTATTTAGTTTGTTATTCGTGTTAATAATTTTGGTTTTGTTCTGCTGTGCCGATACTTTTAGTTCTCTTATAAAGGTAATAACTTATTTTAATTCATCTTATAGTATTTTCTTCAAAT